GAGTAACTGTTGTTTTCCTCAAAAGAAATGTTAATTGCGATTTTTGAGTCTTCTTCGATATTAACTGTGATGTTTTGTGTTTCTGCCACTGAACTGACAACTTATAAGACGTTGTTTGAAATGTGAAGTGGCCACTTGTTTACTCAAACATCCAGTGGCGTAGAAAATGACTGTTCCGATAGACAATTCAATTATCGAATATTTGGCTGAACACATACTACTATCGCCACATCCTTCCGGTGCATCAGTAGATCATAATGACCTTGGAACTTTCCAACAGGGAGACCTCCAATCGTCTGAAATAAACAATAAATTGACACCTGTTAGTCCAGAATCAACCACAATAGCGTCTTGTTACATACACTGAAGAAGCAACGCACTTTGCGACAGTAATTCTACACCTTAGTACTCACGACTTGGTGTTGAAAAATCCGGTTGATCAATGAACATCATTTCCAAAACCGTCCCACAAACATCAGTGTATAGCAATGATGTCCACCCAATCACTAGTATAATCACATACGTTTGCTTCCTCAGGCAATCATCGCACCATTACGGAAAACTACATCGCGTGGCCACATATTGACCGAGTCTTCGAGTGTCAACTTTTCAGATGGAACACTAGTCAGCGTGTAAATCTATTCTTCCTCTGAGTTACTTGTAAACGATTCATAAAAATTCGACTTCCTTTTGTACCTTAGCATAGAAATGTATGAATCATCGGGTACCCAAAGCCATTGCTTGGGTATCCGAAAAGTTACATTGGCTATGCTGGGATATCTAGAATTCTGGAGTAGCAACCTTGCTGAACTTGATCTATGGAACCTGGAGTTCTTAATCAAGGATTTTCCACACTGACCGCCACCTATCACAAGTAACCAAATACAACTGCCCACTCGATAGATACAGACATTTTCATAAGAGTTCGACTTTTCACAAGTGACCCAACTGAATCACTTTGGGGTGTTCTTTGACTCACCAGTTCACCGTATTTCATCACGTGACTATACAATGTACACTTTTTCACCTCCTCGTATTGTTCGTCCAGTGTACGCTTTTTTATGTCTTCCTGCGTGCGGGTGGGAGATAATGACAACGGGGAGCTATGTGATGCAGACAGATCAGCTTACGCAATCTCAATACGAATCCGCTGTAGGCACAAGATTGAAACTTGGACTAGTGTTAAAACAACCGAGGTATCCAACGACATATACTGCAGGTATATTAGTGAGCACTCCTCTGTTGCTGGGCACCATACATCCACATATAACATATCTTAAGGATTTGATGCTCTGTGGCTCTCTGCTCACCATCATCATCATCATCATCATCATCATCGTCATCATCACTGAGATCATCAACAGAGGAAAATACTGATGATTCACTGACGTACAAGCATCATGAACTATTTTTGCTGGAAAAAGAAAGGATATAGAACAGGAAGAAAAACCTAGGGCTAGCCTAACGCATAGAGCCGAAGACGCATCAGCATCATAATAATCGCTTTCATCATCAGCATCGTTATCATCATCAAAATCAACGTCATCGCTCTAAACGTCCGTATTCAACATTGACGCTTCCCTGCGTGAATGCAATGTCCATTTTAAGCCCTATTCAAAGAAATGAACCAAAACGGATTGGGAAAGTATCTGGTGCTAACCTGTTAGAATTATTCCGATGCGTCTACAACTTCAGACAATTACTCAAACGATCTGAACCTAAAATAATAACAAGAACTCCAACACCATCGGTTCAGGGATAATCACGTTGGGAATCAAGCGGTCTCCATCGTTGAGCGCGGATTACAATGATAGCACCCAAACTTTTCCAAGTCGATTTCATATCCCTCTGCGTGATCAGAGGCAAACCTGACTGGGAGGATAGTGAGAAATTTCGGACATGCAATCCCTGGATTGGCATAAATCCTCTTCATGCTTGAAGCAAACGAACTACCACTGGGTGCTGAATACCACCGGATTACCCATCCACAAGTGACAGGCTCATCTGCAACAGTTATAGTAAAACTTACCAGTTCCGAATCTATAAGCCATTCGTACGAGTATTCGTTCGCTAGACAAACATCGATTTTCTTGTCATAACAAAAAACAGCCTGGGAGACTTCATCTTCCTTGGTTGATGTTGTCACGTAGACTGCAGGTTTAGGGATTCGGACAACAGAACAGATAGTATGGGTGAATATCAAAGTTGTGCGAAATAGTGAGTTGAAATATCAACGAAAGGATACTGTGGCTCACAGAAATAATTAAACTGCAAGACGTCAGACCTAACACATTACTCACAATGTCGCTGATATTTCTTTGAGACAACATAATGGTTGTCGTGCTTCTTGCGGCGAATCAGGTAGAAAGAGTCGTTGAATTATCCTGAAACTTAATCAAGACTTGAAACAGACTGGGCAAAACTTGACAAACACTCATGAACGAGGTATGGATCTGGAATCGGTCGGGTCAATCCGTTAAAATCAAATCAGCATGTTAATGTATAATCTGATTTTGATGGTAAAACTCCCTGAAAAACGACCACTGACGAGAACGGTGAAAGGCATTCACGTCACAATCATTAGACTTGTTGTTTGATTGGTTGAAGTGTACTTTTTATAAAAGACCCACCATTCATTTGGAATTTACATTGAAGGTATCGACTTGGCATTGGTGGTTGCTACAAAGGAAGACCAATATATCACAACACCGGTGACAAATGATTTCCTCCAACCCAGAAAACTGGTTTTGCACCGAGAGCGACATTGTTCGATGAAGGCTAAACGCTTCTTGCGTAGATTCAGGGGCTAATTTCAAACAAAAATCGCCAATTGACCAATCAAAACCAAGCTCGGAACGTCCTTCTGTTTTACAGGTCAACGCCGCTTTTAAACCATATACAGTAGTGACATTTTGGATGCTAATTCACAGGATCCATGCAAGAATTACCCAGAAATTTACGCTACTTACTTCCCATATTTGAAGGGAGAACATCTTTAAACATAGAGCCAGAGTAGCAAGCCTCCACGTACAGCACCAATTTGTTGAACTTTTTTTTTGAATGCATGTAGGCGAGGGTATCGTTCAACTCCATGGCACACAGCTGTGGCAAGACAGAAAGAAAAATTATCGTGAGGTCGAAATGTGTCACTCGATGTGTAAGTCACCAGTGATATGGATCACTTTATTGGAGAATGGGTGGCGTTATGTGCTCGTTCAGTGAGGAGAAATCAGGCGGTTGGTTGTCGCTCGTGGCCGAACGGTTACACCTTGCGCACCACTGATGATTCCCAATAAGGATGGAACAGTTGTACGTTGCTTCTCGGCTTTTCATCACAGAATGTTTTCTCATAAATACAAAAGTTTCATACTATTAAAGATTCGCGCTGTCGATCTAGAAGCAAAAATCAGTATGTTGTCTTGTCAGGAAAGATTCGGCTGACGTGTCCTTTTGTATCACCTACGCTTTGTGTATGACCGTTTACGACGAGCTCCTTTGTCTACCGTATCTATGTTTGCTCAGCAGTCTGAATGTATCGATCGCGAAATCAGGTAAGTTGAGCGACCTTAAAATTCGGTAAAACAAATCCATGTGACGGTGTCATTTAAAGCACCTTGAAAAGACCTATCAAGCTTCAATTCCTGGGGATATCACTCTTGAGAGTGTCGTACGAACATCTTAGCTTATGTTCCCTTTCATTGGTTGATGTGTAGAACAGCTTGCATATAAACGCTCTTTATAAAGAATTACCAAAATAATTGCACCAACAGGTTTTTGTGTGCCTCTTCAATCCTTTCACTATTTAGCTTGCGATTAAAACACTATGTGCTAACACCGTGGTTAACAAACTTAACTAAACTTACATGTTCTTCTAGGAAGGTAATCTGGGAAGTCCCACCATGGCCAGAGAAGTAGATGAATACGTAGTCATCAGGACCGCTATAAGGGGGTAGAAACGTTAAGGTGGTCTTGAAGAGGAGCTTATTGGCTGGGGCTCACACACAAAGGGGAGGACAAGAGGAAGTGAAAGCATAGAGTACTTGCATTTCAGAATACACGCCTTCGGATTTAATCAGTCGCTAAATGAAATTCCACTTGTCTGCTATTTGCATGACCACGTGAATATGGAAGGAAAATTTGATTTTTTGAACGTCTGTTGAATAACTCCTATTGTTTTAAATGCATGAAGATGTTCGGAAGCGGTTTTGCAGCTGAGCTAGTTTTCTCATCTTGCCGTTGAAACAGTCACACTCAGCTCTTCTGAAAACACGCTCTTGTTAGAATGATTAAATCTGTTTAATCAAATATCTACATAACATATACACTATTGGGGAAAATATGATGACCAATGTAGGGCGATCCTAATTTTGAATAGTGATATCCAAAAAGCCTTATGTTTTATCTAAAACTGATCTGGAAATATTCCGTTTGTTGGTCGTGGATCAAGATGTTGTTCATCCGTTCCCCGCTCGTAATGATCGGCTTGCAAATGTTTCATTGCCAACCGAAGTGACATTCCATACTTGTCTGATATTATACGACTGAGACTGGCTGATGGGAACATACACTTCGATGGTCGATTTCGAACTGTGCTGCGTTTTGGCTGACATCCTGTTAATTCGACTACTGCATGAGGTAGTTTCTCTCTTAAAACTTTTTGTTCATGGTCTGATTGAGCGGTTACCGATTTCTAACGTGTTGCATTCTGGATTTCCACATTCAGTTGGCTCTCATTCCGACTTCTGGTATCGGTGGTGCATTTTGATTGACATTTTCCGAATTGCTGTTGTGCTGTAGCCTGATTTTAGGGATTTTGTTCTAGCAAATACAGTTCCAGTTAATAAAACTTGTTTATTTTGCGGATGAATTTATCACCTTGGATCACGTATTCTTTAGACCACCTCTCTTTCCTTGTTTATCCCAGGTACCAACAAGCGGCATCGGAAAACTGATTTTTTTCAACTTAGTATTGGAATAGCTTTTAACCACTTTCCTCTTCATTTACTTATTAGATCTGTTTACGAATGTGCTTAAAGCAGAAAAGCCAACCAGGGAGTGCAAAATTGACGGAAAGTATAACGTCGGGCTCACCAAAAATAAATTTTTGTAGAACGTCAGCTAGATTTCAAAATACAAACGATTAGATTCACAATATATCAAGTAATAAACATATCTCTTTTAAATATGCTCAAAGAAATATTTTGTCTGAAAATGTAGTTTTGCAGGAAACTAGCTTGCTGCAACAGATTATAATGTCCGTGACAGGCAGTGGAATCCTCATACTCTAGACGACAGCAAATAAATATATATTACCACTTCGCGGGTCAGTTCAGAAATGAGTGTTTGTCAAACTGAGTGCTTTGGAAGGGTGAATGCGGTAACGCCCCACTCCAAGCTATTGTGAAGACTGGCGAAACTCCAGAATAAAGCCTATATGAACAGCTACCAGACCACCGCCTTGGAATGGCGACCGAACAGACCAGGGGGCACCAAGTTCCCGGAAGCAAACCTGAATGCCAGCAGACCAAATAACACGCAGCACTTGAAGATTGTCCAACAAACAGTGTTCACAAAACCGATTAAACAGGATGGTTCCTGTCAAACTGCAAACGAAATACATAGGTTCACTAGAGCTGTGAATATGTACGGAAACGTCCATTGCAGGTCCCTGTACGAAACATCGGTTAATGGGGAAACACGCACAAGGAGCAGGAGATTACGGATTTTGTCCAAAACGCAAATCCAAACTGTGTGAGAGTGACTTATGGATTGCGACTGAATAAACGTTTGCGTCGTTTCCTGGCCTGTCTCTGTATGTCGACGCTTCCCACCTCGTTCTGTGCGGGTCAGTAAGTCGTGGGAGGAATTTTGAAAGAACCACTTTGACGTTACTAAACCACACAGAACCTAAGTTGAAACAGGTATCCTAAAACCTGAGGGTTTTATCGGTGAATGTCGATACAGATTTGGGGGACAGCCATAAATCGAGAGGGCCGCTAGTGGACGTGGATTTAGATTATTCAATCAACAGTGTCTATTTGCGTTGTTTAACACCGTGAGTTAAAACACCTCCTGAACCCGAGCAAACCAAAATCGACCGACCCAACGGTGTACACGACCAAGCAGATATTTGACCACTCACAACTGCGCATATCTGAATATTTCCGAAACTTGTTAACAGCGGTGATTGATGCCTATGATTTTATAATAACCAAAAGTCAGAAATGGATAAACCGAGTTTCCCCTGGAGTGAAGCTTGTTATTCCGGCTGTGATCAGCAAGTGCATCAACAATATCCACCTCAACGCAAACTCACCTGTTCAGCACCTTCTTCTTGTTGGCTTCAAGTTTCTTATCGCCTTTTAATACGTTCAAGAAGTTATCCCGTGTGACATCCTAAAATGGATGAGCATGCACGACCAAATATTCTACTGACATTAGTGTTCCCTACGCTCATTCTCCTCTCAGTGACCGGCTAATTTCACCATAAGAATTAATTGAAATCTTAGAGCTGCCCCCCATCTCCACTCATATTTTATTTACGATGATTTGTGTGTGCTGAAAACTGAATAACTCGATTGTCGGTCTGCTTACAAAGCATGGCATTTGGATTTACTCCCAAGCCTAGGGTTGGTAGTTGAGTTGAACAAGGACTACCTGGAAGCACTAGCAAGTAGCCCTCATCTAACTCAGTAGCTAAAAGATGCAGCATACGTAAGAAATAACCGCCATTTTGAAGTGAGTATCACTCATCAGCACTCAACTGAGTCACAGTTGAGCATCTCTTATCTATGATATTCTTTAGCTGAATGTACTGTCCTGGACACACTGCTTGGTCTGTTGGTGTGTCACTCTGGATATCACTGGATATTTGTCCGGAGAAACTATTCGGGCACTATTGGTCCTCGTGCACATTTCGTGGTTTTTTGACAAGAACGCTTACCTAATTGATAAGCCAATAGCAGAAGGTTTAACTCGGTCATTGGCAGCCTGAGAATTCTCTATGAACTTATGACTAGTGTTCGTCCAAATGGATTGACCATTCTCTAATATGGTGAAACTGATTATTGTGTTTTGATCCACAGTATCATTTTAATTGCACCTTGTGTTACACGGTAAACTGAGGCAGGAATTCACTTGATTGCTGCGCATCGAAAACAC